GGAGGAAGAGGATTCTGTGCCAAATGCAAAGGCGGTGGGGTTTCCGGTGGTGGGAGTCATTAATACAAACCGGAAAGTCAGATCTCAGGCAGTACATGAACTGTTTACATCGCTCTGGAGGCCTGGAAGAGGAATGACCATCCAAGAGATTGATGAAAAGAGGTATCTCTTCACTTTTAATCATAAAATTGATATGAATCGTGTTATCGAAGATGGTCCTTGGTTGTTTGAACGAAACTTGGTACTGCTAAAGGCGGTTGGTCCTAATGATATACCTCATAAAATGGACTTATTTGAAGCAGAGTTCTGGGTGCAAGTGCATAACGTGCCTTATAAGTTTATGAATGTTGATACTGCTAGGAGGGTGGGTAACTATATTGGGGAATTTATTAGTTTTGATGAGAGCCACTTTAAGGAAAAGTGGAGCTCTTATTTGAGGGTTAGGGTAAAGTTGGATGTGAGAAGGCCCCTAAAAAAGGGTTCTACTTTGACAAAGAGAGGGGAAGGACACTGGGTAGATTTTAAATATGAAAAGCTTCCAAGTTTCTGTTTCATTTGTGGCATTATGGGGCACTCTGAGAAATTTTGCCCTTTAAAATATGTGGAGGATCTCGTTTTGGAGACAAATTTTAGTGCTGATCTGAGAGCAGGGGGTGGGGGGAAGATTAGCCCCACAAGGGGTGGTACGTGGTTGATGGACAAACAGGGAGGCCCGAGTGATCACAGGGGGATTCAGCAAGACGACGAAGGAACTATGAGACAGGGTCGTAAGGGGAGCACAGCTGAGACAGAAAGTAGTGGCACAAAGGAAGAGAATAGAAGTGGTGCAGAGGAGGTCTCGGTGGATCAGAAGCGCAGGAGAGTCTGGAAGGATCCAGCAGAGGATAACAACTCAGCAGAGGAGATGGCACTGGACAGCACAAAAAACGGGGAGGAGGCGGGCCTCAGCTCTTAGGCCCGCCTGAGGTGGTCGTGAAGATGTGGATGCAGCAGTTCCACGGTGGTTCTTATTTTAGTATTGTTTTAGTTGTTTCGTTTGGCGTTCAGACTGTTGTTTTTGCTATTTGTTTTGTTTACTTTTGTAAGACTCTTGCATTAGGCTCGGGTGACGAGTGTGCTGCAGTAACCATTGTTGGCTCAATTATGCCCATTTTAGGATCAGCGAGTTATACTGCTTCCTTGAAGGTGGTTAACTCAGAGTCTGGCCCAAGGGCGGATGGTTATCGGTGGTACTCTTGTTATTCTATATCCTTGCTGAATGCTTTTATTCTAATATAAGCCCCCTTCATCCAAAAAAAAAAAAAAAAAAAATTAGGCTCGCAAGCCGGCTAGCGAGCCGGCTAGTGAGCCTAAAATTAGTGGGCTCATTAATGACTCAACTGCTTAATGAGCCGGCTAGAGTTCGAGTTTGACCGAACTCGATTCGAGCTTTGACCGAGCGGCTCACGAGCTGCTCGGCTCATTTGCACGGTTGCACCCCTACAAGTGCTTGATTAGTTGGTATGACTACATCTTGAATTGTGTTTGTATAGACATTAACTAGTATTTCACCCGTGCGTTGCACGGGAATAAAATCTACCAATTATGTATTGGCACATATAAGTACTTCCTCCGTATTTTTTTGTTTGCTACAATAAGTATTGGCACATCTTTTAAGAGTGAAATAGTAGGGGTAATGAATAGTGTAGAAAAAGTATGAGAGATGGTGGAAAAATATGAAAGAAAAGATAAAAAGTACAAAAAGTAAGGGTAGTTGAGTATTTTTAAAAGAAAAACTTACCAAAAAGGGAAAGTGTAACAATTTTTTTAATACATCCAAAAAAGGAAAGTTTAACAAACAAAGAAATACGTAGGGAGTATAACTTAAGCATTTTAATTGTAGAATTTAATATCAAAGAGTTGATATATGAAAACATCTACTACATTCATCCCTTAAATTTTTATCATCTTTGACTTTTCAGATCAATTATGAGAAGGTTTTTTTATCGTAATTATGATAAGGTTTAGAAAGCGACTTTAATTATTACGGAGTATAATATTATGTAATGTAACTTGTAAATTTTATACTTTCGTGAAAATACTTTAATTTTAACACAAAAGATTTCTATATCATTTTAATAATTGGTCAATGATCACGTAATTTTAAGGGACATATGGAGTATAAATGATCATATACTCCTTTTTAAACGACAGTTAACGTCGGTTTGGTGACTTTATTATTCAACTTATCAATCAAAATTTTCAAAAAACATGTACCTTTTGATTTCAGGTCATTTTAGAAAGTTGGAGTTATTTTTTCAGCTGGATTGACTGAATTTACGAAGATCATTTTAGTTATTTCTCATATATATATTTTCTTTAATTTTTTAATAAAATATATTTTTCCCCCATAATTCAATAGAATAAATAAATCAGGTCACTTTATCCAAAACTTCATAAATTTCAACAGAATAAACCGATTCAAGCAATTTCTATATTACCAAACAGGCTTTTAGAGTTGGCTACTTGGTTGAACATCATAGTCACGTATGGCAAATTTATGTGGTCGCATGACTAAAAATTGGAGCACGTCATTGATACCATAACAAACTTAATTAAAAAGCAATTAAACTTATACGGAGTAGTTATTTATCCAAGGGAAAGGATGCAAATATATCCTTGATGTCTAGGTTCATGTGCATATATGTCCCTCAAATTTTAAAAGGTGCCAACTTCTCTTTTTTGGATTTCCCACTAACTTTTCCACTTTCTCTTTTAAGTAAAGAATTTGTGGTTCCAGTTAATTCTCTCTCCTCTGCACAAACCTCCACCATACAGTTTTTACTTTATTAATTCTCGTGCCGATCAAACTTGGCAAAGTTTTAAGGGACGGAGGGAGTATTAAAGTTCATATTTACTTACGACGAAATTTACCCTATTGACTTTAAATAAAGTATTTAAGAGCATTAAAAATAAATTAGCGATTGAGTTTGGAGATTGAAAAAAACTAAAAAATTCATTTTATGTTTGATAGTGTATATCGACTTGGACCTGGTTTCATGACTATTTGGACTTGGACAAAGATCCACGAACGCTCAGTAGATAAAATTTACATTACTATACACTTTATATATTCATATATACTCATTAGAATAGATTTCCTATCATTCATTAGTTATTTATTGGTCATTTTATGTAATTGGGTTTGTCGGGCCTAAACCTAGAATCTCAGCTTACATTTTCCGTATAAATATTCTCCTTAGAAGCCATGTAAACCGTTGAATAGGGATGGATTCGGTCCGGGTCGGGTCCGGGCCGGGCCTAGGCCCGGGTAGCCACCGGGTCCGGTCCGGGCCTCGGGTCAATTTTTTTTCCCTTTCCCTAATTAACCCCCCCCCTCACCCCCAACCCCCCAAACCACCCCAAATGGCCCAAAATACACAGCCTAACCCGAAAAGTTAAAAAAAAATTGAAAAAATAAAAATAAAAAGCCCGGAACCGGGCCCGAACCGGCCGGGCCGGTTCAGCTTTTGGGTGACCCGAGCCCGCACCGGGAACCCCCCGGGCCGGGCCTACCCGGACCTGTCACTAGCCTGGCCACCGGGCCGAGCCGGTTCAGCACAGTACCGGTCTCGGGCCGGTTACGGGTCGGGCCACCCAGCCCGAGTCCAGGACTACCGTTGAATAGTTCATTTATGCATATCAATTTCTCTCTCTTGTTATATCTTCTCGCTAGTCAATAGTCTATCAATATACAATGCTTCTTTTACTCCTAATTACATTCAAGATCGCATATTACCAGGAATGCATATCAAGGTTAAATGCAATTAAGGTTAACCTTGATTGAATTCAACCTTAATATTGAATTGAACCTTGAATGCACATTAAGATTAACCTTGATTTATATTACCTTGGTAATTGTGTAATGTTATCCGTTTGGGTAAAAATTCACCAACTTAGGTAAAAATTCACGGATTTTTTAGGTTGCATATTACCATTTTGGGTTGCGTCTTTTATCATTAATATGCATAATTAATTTGAATTAATTATATTACCACTTTAATTCATAAAAGTATGCTCGGGTAAAAATATGCAACCATGATATGAATTTACCCAATCATGCTTCATTTACTACCGTTGCATTGAAAATATTTCTTTCTCTCTAGCTCTCCCCTTTTCTCCCTTTATCGAGCTAACATTAGTTATGTACTTAATTTTCCCTCTTAAATTCTATCAGGACAACTTATAAAACATGTGATGGGATTCCGTACCGAAACATACCCAAATATTTGTTAATGAAAATTCTTTTCCAAAGTTCGAATATTGGATGTATATTTGTTAATGAAAATTATTTTCCAAAGTTCGAATATTGGATGTATTTTTTATAAACTTATGGCATTTTTGTGATATGTTAAAAAAAGTTCTCTTTTTTTCTTTTACATGAGACTATTGAAACTTCTCCATGCCATGCCATGTTAGAGCATCACCAATGGGTGGCCGTTGACATTAAAAAAAATTGCCCCGTCATCCCTGTCTTGCGCTTCGTATAGATATTCATCTCCAGTGCAATATGTCATAGCTAATGTATTGCTGGCCTGTTAATAACAGGCCAGCAATACTCTGTACGTAGTATTATATATCAATTTATATATAATACTACGTATATACTAATATACGTAGTATTATATACTACGTACACTCGGTTCTCATATACATTTACCACTCGGTACTAATATATACTCTGTACGTAGTATTATATATCAATTTATATTGTATATTAATATACGAAGTATTATATATATATAAATATAAATACACACACATATAAAACTAGGCTCGCAAGCCGGCTAGTGAGCCTAAAATTAGTGGGCTCATTAATGACTCAACTGCTTAATGAGCCGGCTAGAGTTCGAGTTTGACCGAACTCGATTCGAGCTTTGACCGAGCGGCTCACGAGCTGCTCGGCTCATTTGCACGGTTGCACCCCTACAAGTGCTTGATTAGTTGGTATGACTACATCTTGAATTGTGTTTGTATAAACATTAATTAATAAGGTAAAGATTTCAACATTGATTCAACATATATAAATATATTTTGTAACTTAAATAGCTTGTAATGTAAGTATAGTTCATAGCTGAATGCTAAAATGCCTGGTGTCATCACCACGGTTGAGTGAGAATGTTGAAGTTGCAGTCTTGTTTCCATACTCGACCCTCACTTTGTATTCCCCAAGAAACCCAAAGAAACTGTATCTTCCATGATCGTCTGTTTCTCCCTCCAAGCTCTGGGTTCGCCACTCCTTCAGCAGACCATCCACAACCTCCCCAGCCGGCAGATTCGTGAAGTTGTTATCCGTAAGGCACATCTGATAGCACCCCTTCGGATCAAGGGCCGTCCAGAGCATTATCCCATCCACGCCCGGATGCGAAAACCCCTCTCTCAGGACTTTTTCCAAATACCTTGCCTGCGTTTCCTGGCCGAACTTCTTGTTGATGTCGATTTCTGTGAGCCATATGGGGAGCCCCAAAGTGGCGAGTTTATCAATGGTCGCTCTGATCAGAGGAGGGTTTGGGACTGAGAAATGCCCTTCTACTCCGATCCCGTCCATTGAAATTCCTCCCTTTTTGAGCTCCTTCATCTTAGCAATGTACATGTCCACCGTGGATTTCGGGTCGGAGCACGTCTCCACCACGTTGAAATCGTTCATGAACAGGGTCGCGAGCGGGTCGGCTTCGTGGGCCGTCTTGAAGAACTCCAAGGTCGCGTTTGGCCCGAGCCTCTGCTCGTAGAAATCGAAGTGTAGCATTTCGTTGCTGACGTCCCAGTGGATGAACTCGTCTCTGTATCTCTCCATCAGGCTCGTGATTCTGGACTGGACAGCGGATTTCAGGTCCGGGCCGGTCAGGTTAAGAACCCATTTGGGAGTGTATTTGGGATCTTCCCAGAAGATGTTGTGGCCTCTCACTATAATCTGGTGTTCTCTAACAAAGCTGAGCATCTGGTCGGGAATGGTGTAGTTGAGGTGTCCTTCATCTGGTTCGGTTGCATACCACTTCAGTTCGTTCTCAAACACTGCTGCATTAAATCTTTCTGCAAACCAATCCTGCATTAATAAGTTTTTTTTGCAACAAATAAGATTTTGTTAGCTCTCTACTTTTATTACTTTCAAGTTTGTTTAAGGACTGTAAAGGTCTCTTGATTTTGTAAGAAGTGTAGGAAATGTTTTTTATCTGACTATTAGTAATGATATTTCTAGTGTGGTCAGGTCATCTTTATGAATAATGGTCTTTCATTTGGGCCGAGTTTGATCTGGTATCAAATCAGATCAGCCTTTGATAATAGTAAAACAACACAATTAAACCTTTACAAGAACAGATTTGAACACATCATACCATACATGAAAGTTTTAGTCAAAATGAAAGTTTACTTGAAATTCCTCATAAAATCATTCCATACTAATAAATTGATAACTTCACAAATGTGCCAATTATGTTTTCTTCTCAATATATGATTAATATGTTTTCTTCCATCATTTTTAATGGAGCCAAAGACTCACTATTTTTTGGCTTGGGAATATGATGGAATAAAGCAAAATGACTCACTAAACTGTCTGCGCTTTTATATTATCAAGCAGTAATTAGTGCATGCAATTTTCGACAAGAATTTCACTATGTGTCATCCGGAAACAGTCTCTCGGTGCTGTAGTACAGGGGTAAGACTGCGTACATCCGACCCCCCTTACCCCATCGTAGATGGGAGCCTTTGCGGCACTGGGGTAATGATGATGATGAAGAAGAAGAATAAGAACGATTAAAATTTCTTCATGTTGGTTGAGTCTTATTTTAAAAAGTGACTAATAGTGATGATCATATGAAGAAATATGTAATGTTATAGTCTTATTTACTCCGTAGTATAATATTTTTGTCGAAAATAGTCTTGAACTACCTTGCTTGACTTTTTAAGATGAATGTAAGTTTCAATGACGTAAGGAACCAAAATAACATCAAACAAGGTAATCAAGCAATTGCAACATACACTGGCAAGTTAAGTGTAACAATTCATTATTCACATGCTTTCGTAGTCACCATTTTACACATAAGAAAAAGTTTTTTTCCCAGAATTTGAAATGAGGCAGGGCTGGGGCTAGCGGTAATCTACGCCCATGTTACATGTCATATATACAAAATACTGCTAGAATTATTAATTTATTAGGAACCTTCTGGAAACCTGATAGGGCAAATTTCCAATGATGGACTTTGCTATGGCAGATCCAAACGGGAAATCATTCGACAGTTGCTCAACTGTTACCGTTGCATTCTTTAATCTAAGACCTTGTTTATCTGAGGCATGGATTGTTACTGCACGCTTTCTTTCCTGAAAGATGGTTTATGGTTAAAGAAATATATAATGTAATTACTTTATAGAAAAGAGAGCTTACCATGTTAATTTTGGTTTGTTGATTTAAGCTCCATTGCTGCTGAGTAAATGGCTGTAAAGAAGCACTTGCAACCTCTATATTGATCTCTGATGTAGCTGAATTCTGTTTAGCAAAAACAGTGCATGTACAATGAGTCTATGACTAATATCGCTTTATATGTTAGTTTTTTTATATCTACTCATTCTGAATTAATATTACTTTAACTTTTTAAAAAGGACAACATAGAAACTGGTCTATGATGCACTAAAAGTTGCATAGATTTTGCTTGGTATAACTTAAAATCACTGCATATGCTAAATTGTTAAAGTTGCCTCGCCTCAATTTGACTATTTATTTAAAAGTTATAGTTAATGTGTCTCAGGGATGTGTTTTATTAAAAAGGATTAAAGGTCATTTTCAACAACTTTGCTCAATGGCTACATAGTGACTAAGTATCAGATAACAACAGCTAGTGGGAGTTGTAAAAGAGAAATGATACCATAAAGTAGAGGAGAGATAAGTTAGATGGGGAAGTCAAAACAAAGCCACCCTTGATGAAAGACCAGCATCCTCTTCTAGCAATAACACTCCCTACACAGTCTGTTTGTTCACCATTTTCTGACATCAGTGTTGCGGTCAAGAGAGCAGACTCTTCATTCTCTATTCTGATCCAACCTGTAGTTATCATTAAAACCCTAAATCCTTCTTCATCTCGAAATTTATAAGTTTATATCATACTTCGTATTAATAATAATAACATGGCGTAATTAACAAAAGTATGAGGAATTAGTGGATCACCACCAGCAACTTAACTGGAAAAACAATAAATGGTGTCAGGGGTTAAATCTTGGAGCAGAAAGGTGGGGGTATTAACTCCCTTTCCGTCGAGCCCTATGACTTGTCGGGATTCTGCTTCTTTATTGGCCAATACTCCTCCCCCGTATAATGGCTCCTCCGGGTTCTCTTTGCACTGCAATATCCATATATGGTAATAATGCTTGTTGGAGATTGTAAACACATGTTTTCAAATATTAATATTTGTGATTTTCTCAAGTATGGAGGGGTAGTTCAACACTCATAATCTGTTATTTCATTATCTAGATTGTGCAATTATTTAAAAAGTCAACACAAGATAATATAATCAATGAAGCGGATCAGTTTTGAAGTCCATGTATTCGTCGCTGAAGTTGACCAAAATGAATGGCTTGTGAGAGCTTAACTAGCTTTAATGTTTTGATACGATTTAGAATTCCAATGTAAAAGATCAAACTAATAGGAGAATTAGTTGAAGACTTGAAGACTAGTGTACTTGTTAAGTTGTTTTGTATTTTTATATATAGCCTTAACAGGATATATGTAGCCATGTAGTAGAGCTATTACATGCCAAGATTACATGAAAACTCAAGAGGTACAACAAATATAGTCACATGAAATGCTCCTTTTTTTTTTACCTCACGAAATGCTCCTTTTTTTTTACCTCACGAAATGCTCCTATTAAATGAAGAGAGTCTACAGTCTTACCTCTGTGTAGGCTGAAGAGTCATATAGAGGTCCATCTGCAACGGGGAAAGCACATAAGCAATAATAAGGCTCCGTTTGTTTTATTCAATTTTTTTTTTTTTTAAAAATGGTTTATAAGAAGAGATTTTTTTCCTAAGCCATATAACACTAAAGAATTTGGATATTAAATTAATGATCATTTTACATTACAATATTTTTCCACAGGCAAGGCAAACATTAGTCCTGTTTGAAATAAGAGAAACAAAAAGCTAAGGAATTGTACTAACTAGACATGTGTTTTATGTCATGTATCATATCAATGACTTTCATTCTCCAAGTCCCAAGTCCCAACCAAACACAACTTATCTATTTGTCCCACCCAAGTTATTCTCTATGACAGAACAAAAAAAGTGTATCTCTAAAGTGTGTTGTAAAGGTAATGTACAAACAGAGGGGGAAGAGATTACCATAAAGAGACAGGAAAGGAGTGATGAAAAAGCAGAAAGACAAGAGTAAGATGCAAAGAAGTGGCAGATTTTTAATGCTTTTCATCTTCATTCAACCAAATCTTAGCTTATTGGACATGGAGTTGCAGCTGACAGTTGTGGGTTGGTTTATATAATGCTGAAAAGAATTGAAGAAAGGGGAAGTTGTTGAGGTCAGAGGTGAGTAGGAATCACAGGATGAACAGTAGGGGAGTGGAGGAATGACAAGGGCAGTGGTTTCTGTTCACATGCACAGAATGAAGATCCGTGTATTGGTCTGGTTTGTAGTGTGAAGGGGTGGGTTTTTTATCATTGACATTGGCTTTTAACTTTTTCCTTATAAAGATGCAGAACGTTTTTGGTACGGTTTTGGTGGCGTTTAGCGCAAAGTTGAGGATTTTGGACCTCTTGCAGTGGGGTGCTTTGTGCTGCCCTGCACGCGCATTGGATTCATGTATTAATTCCAGTAATTTTATTTTGATGAATACTTGAACTCCTAAACTCTCACTGTACTTTATAATAAAAAATAAAAATTGTGTGATAGAAATTTGTGGAGATCGGAACACAATTGTGTGATTGGCACATACCCATTTTTACCAATTTTCTATTTTTTGTTTTTTGTTTTTCTCAACTATTAAAAATTTCATTACTTTTTTTTTGAATAAAGTATCAGATTGGTCCTCGAAGTTGCATAAAAGAGTCAAATAAGTCCTTATATAGGAGGTTATGTCCGGCCGTCGCCATTTGGGGTGGTTCCCGGTGGATTTTTTTGGTGAATTTTTTTGAGCATCTTATTCATTAAGTCTAGTTTACACATACCAAATTTCAGCTAAAACTTCAATCAGGAAGGCGTTCAAATGAAGTCTTGAAGATAACTGTGCAGTTATCTTCAAGAATTTATTTGAATGTCTTCCCGATTGAAGTTTTAGCTGAAATTTGGTATGAGTAAACAAGACTTAATGAATAAGATACTAAAAAAAATCATCAAAAAATTTCACCGGGAACCAACCCAAATGGCGACGGCCGGACAATAAGGACTTGTTTGACCCTTTTTATGTAATTTTGAGGACTAATCTGACCCTTTACTCCTTTTCTTTTAAAGTAATGAATTTATGATTCTCTTTATTTATCTCTTCTTTATACAAATCTCAACCACGTTGTATTTACTTTTATTATTTCACACTAAATTCAAGTAGACAATCTTGAATGGAACTGAGGGAACAACCAGGGGCGGAGCCAGGATGTAGTACGAGTGGTTTCAAAGCAACATAACAATGAAAATTATTAAATTACCTTAAATAAGAGTCCGTTTGGTGATTCGTTTTCGGCTTATTAGCCAACTTTTTCACTAAACACGTAACTTTTGATTTTTGCACACTAAATTGTGCAATGATCAAAATAAAAAAATTGAAGTTATTGTAGACGACAACTTTAACTATTTTTCATATGATTTTTTTTATTAATAAAATATATTTTAAATATAATTTTTTCACTATTTAGCAGAAGTAGCTAATTTAGTCACTTGATTCAGAACTTCATAAGTTTGAGTAGAACTAGCTGATTTAGCCAATTTCAATGTAACCCAATTGGTTTTAAGATTGCAAATAATGTAAATTCGAAAATAAGAATATCATATAATTGTTTTAATTTTATAATTAAAAAACATCATCAACATCATTCTTTCAATCATAAATGAAAAACTTGTCAGATAGGAGGAATGTGTAATAAATTTCATCTACGAGTACATGATAAAACTTGTCAGATAGGAGGAATGTGTAATAAATTTCATCTATATGATTTCATGATTTAATTATGGTGGCATTTTCTCATATCTCACTTTTGGTGGATAGAGAGCAGTATATTACGGAGTACATTCTTATTCCATAAGATATTAGTAGACCACATTATCCTCTTAACATAACATATCAACGCCTACCATTTTCTGTTTTATACGCTACAGACTGTTTAATTAGTAGTTAAAAATCCACAGCTTATCAACAAACTTTCACTAGTTTGAGAGGGAAGTTAATATCAATTCCCCATAAATCATGTTATGATTATATATAGAGATACTCCGTATATAAATAGAATAACTATACTTATTTCTTGAGTAATTTACACCACATAAGGTCATAGGGAATAAACATTTCATAAATGAATCACTTGGTGCTAATTAAGCAACACGACTTGTAAGTTATTTAGAATTGACTCAGTTTTAATCAAACCTAGCTCAAATTGAATTCAGATGAATACTTTGATACCTCATTTCAATAACTTTGACTAGATCCTCCATTCGGTATTTAATTTTATATTTGATTTTGCAGGTTTTTAATAAATCAACAGTGGCGAATGCATTTCGATCTGAGGAAAGATAAATAATGTCATACTCCGTATATTAAAATGATTTTCTTACATAAAGTAAAAACAGAGTACTACCTCATACCTCCGTATTTAAAATATTGTAAGGTAAATGGCGGACAGTAGCATTACAATTTCAATTCTTCATTTCCAAGATTTGAAAAGGTTGCGTAGAAAAAGGGCATGTTTTGGTAAAGGTATTCCAAAAAGTGTAGAAAGGATGATACCCCATCTTAGATGGCCCTCAGACCGGACGGTTAGATGGGAGGATATAAATTGGATTTTAATCACAAATAGAGAGTGAAGCTCTGATTCTGGTACTTGCAGAGACCCTATGCATTTTTAACACAGTGACCTCTCATCGCAGTTGTCGGGATTCGAACCCGAGACTTACCCCTTGTGGCACCCCCTATATACCAATGAATTACGTCCACCGGTACAAATAAAAAAAAGAAAAAAAAGTGTAGAAAAAATTGTAGGAGGGAACGAAGGAAAATCAGTTGCGGGACACTTAAAAAAATACCTCTCTTACTTAAAACTTTATACTCCCTCCGTCCCAGAATTAACTTTCGGTTTTGGCTGGGCACGGGGATTAAGATAGCGGGAAATGTGTGGTGGAGAGTTGTGTAGAGGAGAGAGAAATGTGTAAGAATGGTTGTGAGCCACAAATTATTTGCCAAAAAGGGAAAGAGAAGATAAATTTGGGGCGGACCGAAAAGGAAAGAATGAAGATAATTTCGGGACGGAGGTAGTAACTTTTTTTTTACTTTTTCTCCGTTTTTATAAAAAAATATATCAAAATTCATAACTTTTTATTATATTTCATTTGACGCCAATATTGTATATGCAAAGTTAAAAAAAATTGAATTTTTCAATTTTTTGGATCCACCTTTTCTTAAATAGATCCAAGTGCTAAAATTAATAACTCACAATTTTCTTACATCTTTCAGTTATTATCGAATTGCCATAATCGTGAGATCTTAATTTTAGCATTTAGATCCATTCAAGAAAATTTAGTGCCTAAAAACATCAACATTTGGAACCAGGGGTGTAGCTGGGGGAGGACTTAGGCTCCGACTCACTTCAATTTTTTTTGTAATTTTAAGTATAAAAGATTCATGTAATTTTTTTTCAAAAATATTCTATATATCGGCTCAGTCTGGCACAATAGCCTTGTTCCGCCCCTGCTTAGAACTTTATATTTTTTTTAACTTTATATATGGCATATTGGTGTCAGATGAAAGTTTTTATAAAACATAAAGAATAACTAAATAAGTTATAAATCTTTTAACAAGAGGGGGTCTTATATTTACAAGTAGAATGTACAAAAGCCCTAGAACATTGGCCAGTACGTACTGCTAATAATCTGCCATGCCTCAAACTCCAACCAATTGGATCAATTTACATCGTTTAAGGCATCAAACATGTTATACGGAATTACCGAGTATATGAGTATATCACAATGTGCATTAGCCACCCATATAATATACTCCCTCCCCCCGTCCCGTTTTACCTTTTTTCGTTCATCCCACTAAGTTTGTGTCATATCATATTTGGTAATATTTGAGTGTTTAGAATTCATTCTTACTTTATTCACACTTTATCAATTCAATATCAATCATATAATTCTACTTTTTCTTAAAAACCACACCACACCCCTTTGTCCCAAACTTAGGGGGAAGGAGGTAGTACGAAGTAAGTATACAGAAGCATTTTCGGCAGTTAACTAATTATCCTCCTAATTTGACAAGTCACATAAGCATTTGTAGTAAAATTTAAATATACTTCAATGGTAAGCTATAATACATTCCCCTTCATTTATTAGTAATAATGTTATATTTGATAATTCTCTTTGCCCAAACAAGTAGCTCATTTTGGCCAATTAGCTTTCTCAGGCAAAAGAAAGAGCAATGCTCCAATGCATTTTGATTGTGAAATTAGAATATAAAAATGTGTGGTTGAGATTTGGCAAAATCCAATGAGACGGAGCGAGTAATATATCGGACCCATAGTCTGCCAACTATTGAGCTCATTTAGCGGCCCTAATACACTTCAGTATATAGTATTTGTATTATTGTATATTAGTATTATTATTAATCAGATATTTTAGATTAGAATTTTACATTATCAGTCATTTTATGCCCTCACGCTCATATTAGAGACCTAGGTCCGTCTTTTCCCTCTAAATAGACTCCCAAAGTCATGTAACCTAGGAGTCATCATTCATATACCCACTTCACCTCTTTAACTAATTCTATCTATATTCTATACAATCATATAACCCGATATTTTATCAATGATGCTTTCATTGAGATAGAGTCAAATGTTATCCCTTCCTTCTTGTCCTCTTCAACCTGCTCCGACTCGGCCTCCCATTCCATGTATAAATCCAGGATTGGCTCTTAACGTTCAAGCATGAGCTTCTTAGTCTCTTCTCCAAGCCAGCACACACTAGTAGTTGCACGTGCATCTCCCCATATGCATAGAAGACCCCCCCCCCCCCCCCCACACACACACATTTTTGAGGAAGTCCCAACCTGCAGGGGTTTTCAACCACTTATCATGGCGAGCAGCAACCATCGAGAGAGACCACTCCGTGTGCACCTTGACCTCCCGGTAGGACTCTAGGAATTTGGAAAGAATCGCATTGGCACCAACCTTGGCCTTCCGTAGCTCCCTGACCTTAGATGCTTCAGTAATGACATCATTTGCCTAAGCCTTCTCTTTGGCCTTGGACATTAAAGCCAAGGACACAACGATTTTCATGTTCGCCTCCTGGACAGCAGGCTTGCCTTTCTCTACAACATCAATCTTAGCCCTCAACTTCTCAAAGTTTACGAGAGCGTGATACATTTCACAACGGCCGCGCTAGGACTTGTCAAAATGCCTCGTCCGCGTCTACATGTGTCACTTAGTTTAACCTACTTTTATTAATTATATGAAATAAACTGGTAAGCCGCGACCTCAATCCTTTCAATGATTTCAAATGGGCCAATGTATCGTGGGTTAAGCTTACTCCTTGCTAGTTGCTATGAATCAAATGATACATTTCCAAGGAGAAATCCTTAGAAACATCTCATCACCGACCTCAAACTCTAACGGTCTATGCCGTTTATCGAATTATCTTCACCTTAGCCTTGGTGATCTCAGCAAGTTCTACACCTTCGAGTTTGGCCTCGCCAACCTCGTGCCAACACAATGGTGTCCTGCATTTCCTCCCATGCAATGCCTCGTATGGAGGCATGCTAATACTCGCATGATAACTATTGTTATAGGCAAACTCTACTAGATCCAAGTGTTTGTCCCAACTCCATTGGAACCCCAAAGCATATGCCCTAAGCATGTCTTCCAAAATCTGTATCACCCGCTCGGATTTCCAATCCATTTGTGGATGAAATGTTGTGCTAAACTTCAGTTTAGTCCCCAATGATGCTTGAAACTTTGGCCAAAATTTGGACATGAGTCGTGGGTCCCTATCCGAGATAATGGATAGCAGAACTCCATGCAATCTCATAATCTACTCCGTGTATAGATTCGCCAATCTTTCAAGATGATAAGTAATGTTGATAGGCAAGAAGTGTGCACTCTTGGTAAGCCTATCAACCACCACCCATACCGCATCATAGTTGTTCACCATCTGTGGTAGCCCTACCGCGAAGTCCATGGTCACATGTTCCCATTTCCATTCTAAAATGGTAAGTGGCTGCAAAAGCCCCATCGAGGTCTGATGTTCCGCCTTAACTAGTTGGTTAGTATGGCATAGACCCACATACTCTGCGATGTCCCTTTTTATACCCGACCACCAATCACTTTCCTTTAAGTTTCGGTACATCTTTGTAACTATCGGATGAATAACATAGGCCGAAGAATGAGCCTCATCAAGTATGGGCTTTTGGAGATCTTCATTCTTCGGTATGCATACACGATCTATAAACAATAAGAGATCATCTTCTCGTACCCGGAAATCCTCAACGGGTCTCGCAAGGATCCATTCACGAATCTTCTGACATTTCCCGTCAATGCCCTTGCATCTCTTGATCTCATCAAGTAGGGTAGGTCTAACTTTGAATCTCTCTGTTGGGGCCCCATTCGTGGACATCTCCAAGCGTGCTCTCAATGCCCGTAGGCATATGAGTAACGTCCCTGACGTACTTTTTCTGCTCAGTGCATCGACCACCACATTGGCCATCTCAGGATGGTAGTCGATGATCAAGTCATAGTCCTTGATCAACTCCATCCATCTTCTTTGCCTCATATTTAACTCTTTCTGAGTGAATATATACTTCAAGCTCTTATGATCTGTACAAATGTGGCATGTCTCCCCGTAGAGATAATGCCTCCAAATCTCCAGTGCAAAAACTACCGCCCCCAATTCTAGATTTTGAGTAGGGTAGTTCACTCATGTTTCCTCAATTGCGTAAGGGCGTAAGCAATCACCTTACCGGTTTGAATCAACACACGTCCAAGCCCTTGGATGATAACTTCACTACAGATAGCGTACTCTATTCCTTAATGGGTAGGGCAAGCACCAGTGCCTCAATAAGTCATTTCTGTAACTCAAGAAACCTTTTCTCACATTTGTCGTCCCATATGAACTTAGCCTGACCCCTTCTTCGTGAGTTTCACAAGTGGCGACACCAGCACATATAATTTCTCAACAAACTTACGATAGTATTCCGCTAGGCCAAGGAAACTATGTATTTCTTTCACATTCTTGGGTCGTTCCCAATCAATGATGCCTTTGATCTTTGCATTGCCCACATCAGTGCCCGATCCAGATATCACATGGTCGAGAAAGCCAATCTCTTTAAGCCAAAATTCACATTTGAAAAACTTGGCAAAGGGTTGCTTCTCGCTTAGCCTTTCAAGTACAAGTCTCAACTGATGTTCATGTTCCTCCACGTTCTTGGAGTATATCAAGATGTCATCAATGAATACAATAAAAAATTAATCTAAGTACTCACTAAACACACAGTTCATCAAGTCCATGAATGTCGTTGATGCATTAGTTAAGCCAAATGACATCACAAGAAACTCGTATTGACCATGCGTAGTACGAAATGCACTCTTTGGTATGTCACTCTCTTTGATATTCAATTGATGAAACTCGGCCTCAAGTCAATCTTCGAGAACACCATAGCCCCCCCTGAAGTTGATCAAATAAGTCATCAATCCTCAGTAAAGGATACCTATTCTTGATTGTGACTTTGTTCAGCTGTCAGTAGTTATACACATTGTTAATGTACCATCTTCTTCTTCACAAAGAGTACCAGTGCTCCCCACAGTGAATGGCTGGGTCTAATGAACCTGTTGTCCAATAGTTCTTCCAATTGCACTTTCAACGCTTGAAGTTCTGCCGGTGCCATTTGATAAGGAAGAACGAAATGGGTTTGGTTCCCGACTCTACTTCAATTACGATCTCGATCTCTTTGTCGGGTGGAAGTCCCGATAAGTCGTTGGGGAAGACGTCTGGATACTTACACACGAGTCACACGACATGTAAATCGTTGATGTCTACTTCTTTCTTGGTCTCATCCACCACGTAAGCAAGATATGTGTGACATCCTTTCTTCATCATCATCCATGCTCTCATCACAGATATGGTACAACCATGAAATCTTCCCCGATCTCCCTCAAATTAAAACGTAAGAGGTATCCCTCATCATCCCCGAGTTCTAAGACCTTGGTGTAGAAATCAACCCGAGCATGATGCCTTTCAAGCCAATCCATTCTTAGGAATGTATTGAACTCCAACATACTTATGATGTTTTTACTTGGACTGTAATCTGTCCCAGACCAGACTAGACCAGATGACACTAGACCAGTCCAAAACAGACCATACCAGACTTGGATAGTTATAAAATACAAAGAAACCAGAACAGATCAGACCAGACCAGCAAATTACAGTCCAAGTAAAAACATCATTAGAGTTACGAAATCACAAATCAAAGGTTGACCCGTCACTTCTACCACACACGATGGATAATAGTGGTTCCTCTTCACGTCATCTCCTAATGGTGTGGAGACCAACAAAGGTTGCGATATTGGTACCAATGGCGTGTCAAGACCTTCGACGAACGTTTCACACACAAATGAACGTTGCACCTGGGTATCAATAAGAATTCTTGCGTTTCTTCCATTGATCAATATTGTTTCTACATTTACAGATCATGTAAGACACACCACCCGAAGTACCAGATCAAAAATAGGCTTAATGGGAATTTTCGGCCAGAAATGCACTGGACCGGCGTCGGTTCTGGGACTGACCGACGGTGGTTCATGCCTGGGGTGCCGGATTATACTGAAAAATAGACCCCAGGGCCCAGACCGACGCTAGTTCGATCCTAGATCGGCTCGGTTTACCTTTGTCCCACGGAAAATAATTCACTTAATTTGAACCGGCACTGGTTCATACCCCAAACCGGCACCGATTGGAGTACGGCCCACTCCAAAAATCAAATTTTAATCGAACCGGCACCGGTTCATACCCCAAACCGGCACCGATTGGAGTACGGCCCACTCCAAAAATCAAATTTTAATCGAACCGGCACCGGTTCGAGCTGACCGGCTCCGGTTCCGAGCACAGTAATATGAGAACCGAGAAATTATATAGAACCGACGTCGGTTCCCGCCGGACTGGCGCCAGTTGGAGTATGGCGTACTCCATTTAATTTATTTTAATACGGACCGGCGCCGGTTCACCCCTGGACAACTTCATTTTTGGTTACAAACCGGTTAGTAAGGACGCCGGCCGACCCATAAAAGCCTGCTATCACTTTTAACATTTGAAGATATGTAATTCATTAAGCGACAAAAGGGATTACCTGCAAGGGAGTCGGGTTGGCCCGAGCATCAGCCACGGTCATCGCGTAGACCCTTGCTTGGTCCCCGCCTTGGTTGACGGACGCAACATTGCTTGCCGACGCGTCGCCTCTCCCCGTGCCGCCGTGTGACAGTCCCGCATGATTCCTTCCTGTTATGGCCTCTCATCCAGCTCCCGATGCATTCCGTTGCGTCATTTGAGAGCAATTGGCATTCATATGGACCGCATTCATGATTCATCTACCAAATATTTTTTTATAATATAGGTGTACACATAATTTTTTCCACCATTCTTGTTATATCCACTCTTATACCCAGCTTTGTGAAAGCTTTTTTTTTGTCTATGAACAAAATTCACAGGAAAAAGCCTTTCACAAACATGGTGGTTATACAAATGGGTATAAGACTGAGTACAAATATAATAATTTTGCCAATTTTTTTTGGGTATGAACACTACTACACAAAGGACATACTACGTCACCCTTTTAACGTCGGTTCCGGTAAAACCGTCCTAATAAGGGAAGATTTTCTTTATAACGTCGGTTATAATTAAAACCGACGTAATATTTTTGCCTATGACGTCTGGTTTTAAGAAACCGTCGTAAGAATGTATCAGCTTTATGACTCTAACGTCTGTTATGTTTAAACGACGTAAAATGTAAACAATTTTAACCGGCCACTGTTCTTTAATCGCCAAAAAATAAAAGAAACCTTCGCCTCATCTTTCCTGCGCACGAAACTTGTTCTCTCCCGAGACAATCCCCAAAATCAGAAGATTAAAAAAATGAAGCGGCAGAGCAAAACACTCGCATCATCTTCTTCTACACAGCCACACAGGAAACCCTCACATCGTCTTCCGCACGAAAAAACGACCTAGGGATACAGGTTGGCGAAACTCTCCTTCAGCGCAGGTGAATCGAGATATACTTCGTGAATCTGGAAAATCCTTTCCCTTCGATCCGCTCCAGGTCAGCGTTTTCTCTTCTTACATGATAGTAGTTCGATCTCCAACACTTTTTTGAGCAAATTATTGAAAGTCCTCACTGTCCTTTTTACATTAGGTCTGAAACTATAGGACATTCTTTTGGCGGATATAATATGTATCTATCTCCAATTTTTCTTCATACGGAAAGCTTTAGCGGTTCTCTTTTGTATGTAAGGAGAAAATCTGTATTTTTTAGCTATTAATTAAGGATAGGTTGTAGCTTCTTGAAGAGAATCATTAGGAATAGGCTAGTTTGTTTTTGCTCCTTTTTTCCATCTTTATTACAGAATAATAGGTTACTTTTTTCTACTGTCCATCAGGATAAAGTTGTGATTGGCTCATGGTTGTTCAACTCTCAAGGTTAGTTGCTTAGTAGCTACGTCTTAATCTGTTTCTTCACACTTCATCTTTACTCTTTTACCTCATGTAAGCAAACAACGTACACTTCTTCACTTTTTCCTAGTCTCCATTGCGGCAACTTGGACAGGCAGGGGATGGATGGCAAGCCGCTTGGCAACTCGTTCAGACTTCTATCCTCTTCTGCTTCAATAGGAGTCATTAACTATCAATTTAGGCCTTCTGTGGTTACTATGAAGCTAGAAAAACATATTCCTTATTCGGTTTGGATGCAGGACTTCAATTTATTTTTATATTATCTCAGATTCACAGGTAACCCACAATTTTTTATGATTTGTGAATTATATTGTTGGTGCAACTGTTAATATAACGTTTTATTGCTGGTAAAAATGTATGTGTAGCTCTTTCTTTATGTTTTTGCTTCGTAGTTCCTATGAAGTCTGTGTGCATTTATGGTTCACCTAATGATCTAATTTCCTTTTTAAGTGTTTAGGTAGTGATTATGTGTGATTTTACTACATGGCATTTTACAGAGTAAATAAATGATGAGTTTTAATAATGCTGCTAATTGAGAGATCATTGTTTGTAAATATATCGTCTCAGTTAGCTAAGAGTCTAAGACTTGGACAGTTTTGGTATTTTAAATATGACATTTGTTTTATTTGAGTTGTTATAGTGTTAAAGTAGTTTCAGAGTATATTTTTGAATTATATGTGGTATGATTCAAACATTTTGGTTTGTGTGATACAACATCTAACTGATTGCCACTTTTATCCTTTCTTTGTAGGTGCTATAGTGTAGCTACACGAAAATGGTTGGAACTGCTGGATTGGAACACCAGAATTCTGGGTTTTTTGTTTCAGAATAAGAAGGGAGCAGTTTGTTTTTATGCAGCAGGAGAATTGGTTATTTGCCTATTTGTACATTGTCTTTAGTTTTGGATAACATAATTTGCTTGCCCATAGTTTAGGGAGAGATTTTTTATTATGTTTGTCTAATAAAAACATACATTCTATGAGTATAATTTTTTTATATATTCTATCTTGTGGGCTACGTAAATGGTTTTTTTGTTTTCTAAAAGTACATATAACGTCGGTTTCTTTAATAACCGACGTTATATATTTTTTTTTAATTTTAATTAAAGCTTATTACGTCGGTTCTCTAGAAAAGTGACGTTGTAGGTCATCGTTATTATAAAAAAAGACTACTTATTACGTCCGTTTTGTAAAATAACCGACGTGGTAACTTACCTGTTACGTCACAACATTCCTCGTCACTCCAAAAACCGACGTGAAAGGGTATAAATAACCGACGTGAAAACCCTCTTTTGTAGTAGTGGAAACACTTCCAATAAATACCAACACTCAATAACACTTCTTGTTCAAACTATACTAAAGTTTAATTTGACACTCATCCCGTTTATGAATTATGATGTACTTAATGAAGCGGAGGATCCGATTTGCTCAACTTCTTAACCTAGATTAGCAATTTATCATACGAAGTACGAGTTTATACTATCGTTCAAGGTCACTACTCACTCGCACCCAACATAGCTTTAACAAAACTTGCAAGCATGAGTCCAATATCAACTATATTAGGAGTGTAAGACTAGACTGGTTGTGTACGCTAGACACAGGCTCACTCCATATTTGGTAAACACATTGATTTCTTTTTATGTATAAATAATCTATGTAAAAAGTATCTAAAAAAAATGTTTTATGCCGTCCCAACTCCCAATATCACTTTCAAGCCACCCGTGCATACATGCCCGAGTCCGTCCACCGTACAACCGGCTGTACGGTGAGCATCGTATTGCCGATGACATTTTTGTAATATAATGTGAAAATCGCGGTTTCTACTAACCAAGCATTAGTGTACTGTTAATGAGCAATAGTTCAATTTTAATGAGTATTAAGAATCTAATAATGAGCACTATGTTATTACGAGAAAGCTGATATCACAACTAAAAAATGGTGGCATTTTCGTAATTTCAGTGAAAATCATGGTTTTCATCAGATGAGCATTCATACGTATTCTACTGAGCATTTAGAGTTGAATAATGAGTATTGTGATCAAGTTCATATATTGTAATTCACTTTCTTTTTCTTATTTTTTCTTTTATAAAATCTCATTAAGTTATAAGCATAATCAATTCCTATGAATTTCAATATGCGAATATAATGTAATATGATACTTTTGAAATATGCATTGTTATGACATTTAAAAAATGAACATGACATTCATGCTATTTCCATGTTTATATTTGTGTTTTTGATTAGTTTTGAGTGATTGTTACTCTAGAAATTACACACTTTTGGTGTAATAGTTTAGTTTGTAAAATGTTTGTAAAATTGTTTAGATTAGGTTGATTCTGAGCTCAAACAGGTCCAAGCTAGACCACTCTAGGGACCATTGGTGAACATCACAAGTGGAAGGAAGGTGCAAAAATTCCAAGAAAAAATGAAGATCCTGATTTTTGGTGTTGTACCCGGTCGAGTATGCCCTATACTCGATCGGGTAAGTCGCTGAAAAATCAAATCGGATCACCCCGGGAACAAGGCAACATGCAGGGGAGATTTTGACCACGATCGAGTGTCTAAACCCGATCGGGTAGCCGACATACCCGATCGGGTATGTCCATGTTTTTCCAGCTTCCGCGAAGCAACTGAAGGCCCGGTCGAGTACCCTACATATCCGATCGGGTACACAACCCTGCAGGCCTAAAAATCCTATAAATACACCCCATTTCCTCCACAATAAACCACCAATTCCTATATACTTCTAAGCTCAGTTTAGACAAGTTATTTCTTTATATTTTCTTCATGTTTAGTCTCCAAATGAGGAGCTAAACTCTTCCATCCTGGTTTTGCTACGTACTTTGAAGCTTAATGATTTGTAAGTTGTGAGTTATTTTTTTTAATCTTCTTCCTTGAATATTAATTACTTCCTATTCATATTCCATATTAATATTTGAGCATTGCCTAAAGGATCAATTATTTTTGTTTCATATATTATTACTAGACTCAATCGGTTAATACGCTTGTTATTAATTCGGTTCTTTCAATGGTAGTAAACTTGGGTTGTTAATGCATGCTTTTCATGGTTAATAAGCCAAGAGGAATTAATTATATTGATTAAACCAATAAACCGCTTGTGTTGAGGTTATCAATCTCAATCGTTTTCATCTTAAAGTTTATTGCTACTATCAAGTTAATATACGACGCTTGTTCTATATTGACTCGATAGTAAGTTTTATTAATGAACGCATCTCGTTATTAATAACTACCCTCGATGAACTCGATATACTCCTCGATTGAGTATTCGAGAGGAAGATAGTTAAAGATATAACCGGGATCGACGAACTTTTCATTAAGTGGATAAAAGCAAAGCCAAGTCTTCTTCTCATTAATCAAACCACATAACTCGTTCATCTTCGTGCTTAAATATAATTTAAGTTCATTTACTCAATCTAAACCCCCCCTTGTTACTAGTTTATAAAAAGAGAAGTATTCCTTTCCATGTGGATACGAACCTTACTTCATTATACTACGTATAATTGTTGTATTGTATTATTTATTTTGAGTGCACACCACGACAAAGTGCACGTCAGAACACATCAGTACCAAATGAGCATATGTAGCGTACAAATGAGCATTGATATGAAAATCGTAAGTTTTGTTAGTTGAGTATCAAACCTCCTCTATTGATTTTTTTTTTAAATTTTAAAAATAAAAACGTAAAAAATACATTGCCGCTCCCAGCTACACCAACTGAAATCACCGAAGAAAAAAAATATCAACATGCATTAGAAATGTCATATTTATGGTAGTTTCAATGAAAATGTTGACATTATCAAGAGTAAAAATGTTATTTTATGGCATTTTTATTTACAAAAATG